AGGGAACGAGACGCTGCGTCTCGGTGCCATACTTCCGGCGTCCCTGCCAGCGCTTGCTTCATTCCTAGAAGCTGACGCTGGTCTCACTGCATGTGCTTTTATAGCTTCTTGGTCATTACGTCACCCGCCCGTGACGTCTCACCCATCTATTGGTCTGATTACACACGAGGTTCAGAGCCCGTCACGCTGAAGGGCGTTCCCCTAGCGTTTTCCGACGCAGCGTCTCGTTCCCTCGAGGAACCAGGGTTACATACGTAACCCGAGACGTTATTCCATATGTTATTCATTAAATGTGTATCTTTTTTTGTGCTGTGAAGGTTGTATATGCATCTGTATATTGATGATTACATAATATTAAGCGCACCTTTACGTGGGGAATTATGCAGTAAAATCATTTATGCACCGCTATTCATTATGCAAAGTAATATAGTTTCTAATGTTAATATTTTGATGATAAAGTTGGATATTTAAATCATTGCCATGCTATTTATAATACGTTTTCTATTTACTGTTTTCATTGTAAATGTGCCACTGAATATGGGCCTTTTTGTATAACCTTCTCTTCTATAAACAATCGTCTTATCTATAATCCAGAAATGTCAGCAATAAAAGTGTATTTTGGAAATATATTTTACAATTATTTGATCATTTACATTACATCATCATAAAAAAATTTAATTATACAGTACAACCCCCATTAATTAAACTAATTAATTTCCCATTAAATAAGGGGACAAAAACAGTAGTGTATTTTATGGATTTTGTCATTTTTCTGCAATGCAGCAATAACAAAAGTGTATTTTGACAAGAATTGGGAAATTTCACAATTCTTAATTAACTAATTTTGCTACAATCACATAAAATATATACTGATTTCTATAAGTTCATATAAATAGTGACATAATCTTTCCTGCTAGGCTACATAATGAAAACACAACAGGAATTTCATTAAAGAAAACAACGCAATTTTGCACATGCTTAGTATGTCCACTAGATGGCAGCAGAAGCACGTTGCACTCGCGTGTATCTCCGGTTGCTATGACAAACTTGTGAAATGCTGGAATAGTTTAAGAACTCTCGGTAAATTTGATGTCGACGGGTCTGAAGAAAAAAACAATATTATGGCAGCTCAAAATATGCTTAACTTTAATTCCGTGGTATGACTGACTGTTTATGGTTATGTATTTCTAATGTTAATATAATGGTATTTTGTGACAGATAATGAAAATATTTGCAGTACACACCCCATTTATTCTTCCATGTATGAGTATTGCTTTCTGTAAAGTTAGACAGCTGCAGCTGCAACAATTTTTTTTTTTTAAGGATTACAGCAAATGGAAGCGAGGTACACGGTCTAACCCTCTGCTTTGGGCAACTTCTGATCATAAAGCCGTCATATCATCTAACAATGGAGAAACCAGACCATCTCCGACTGGAAAATCAGGTATAAACATGGCCAAGTTATGATCAAAGTACAGTAATGCTTCTACAGTTGTGAGACATGTCTGTCTTTATGTATTATTTTGTAATCTCTGCTTTATGAACAGGAACATCTCAATCTCATGTCCACAATGATTTCACAACACTCCCCAAACTCCCTACAAGAAGGACAACTGAAACAGTGGAACAGGACCAGATCACCACAAAGACGAAATACAGTATCAAAGAACTGATTGTGTGTGCTATAAAGTAGGAAAGTAGAATTTAATAGTTCACTTGTGATTAGTATACAGTACACCATGTTGACAGCTGCAGTCTGTTGTAGTTACTAATCAAATCCAGGAAAGAAGCAATAAAAGACCTGGAGGAGCTCTGTGAACAGCTTCAAGAGAGGAACCTGCAGATGGCCAGAAGCATTATGGATACAGACAGAAGCTCATTTGCCAGAGCCAACAAACTGCTTATCCAGACAGAGCAAAAGATGGTGAGCTACGTTTTTAGTTCCCATTGTACACAAAGAGCACTGAACTCAAACATTTTGTTTGAATTGTGCAAGTATTAAATATGCTTAACCAGTCAAATATGATCTCTTATGTTCTTTCTAGAGATCAGCAGTAGCTTTGAAACAGTGGAATGACAATCTTATTAAAAGTGACAAAGCAGAGCTGAGAGATATAAAGGAGGCATTACAGACACATATGAGTGGTTAGTTTATACTTCATCAGTTATGCTTTAACTGTTTAACTGCTCATCATTTAAAATGCAATATGTACTGTACACTACATAGCCAAAGGTATGTTTTAAACTTTTTTTGTGTGTTTTTTTTTTTTTTTTTTTATGATTGTTTTGGCTATTTCAGCTACACCACACTACAAAAGATTGGGGTTGGTAAGATTGTTTAATGTTTTTGAAAGAAGTCTCTTATGCTCACCGAGGCATTTGAACTGTTTTCTATTTGAATATATTTTAAAATGTAATTTATTTTTGTGGTGGCAAAGCTGAATTTTTAGCTGTCATTACTCCAGTCTTCAGTGTTACATGATTACATGATTTAATATGCTGATTTGGTGCTCAAGAAACACTGAAAAAGAAAGTTGAAAGCAGTTTATGCTTAATATTTTTGTGAAAACCATGATTTGTTTTTTTTTTATATAAATAGAACAGCATTTATATTAAGAATAATCTTTGGAAGTGTAATCTTTACTTTGTTGTCTTTACTTTCATTTTCGATCACTGGAATGCATCCTTGCTGAATAAAAGTATTTTATTATTATTATTTGTTATTTTACTGATCCCAAACTTTTGAACAGTAGAGTATACATCCATTACAAGCAGGTGCATAAAATCAAGAATACAAAAACATTTAATGTACAATGAGGCTCTCTTCTGTTCCAGCCCCTGTGCACACAGAGAGGTCTACGTGTTTGGGTATCCACATACTTTTGGCCATATAGTGTTGCTTCTGTGATGGTTGTTAATGGTAAAGCAAAAACAAACAACCCCAAACTGCATAACAAATTTCAGCTGACTTCATCTTATAAATGTAGGTTTGCAGAAGCAGTTGGATCTGCTGAAAGCGAAGGTGGTAGAGGCTCAGAAAGAGCTTCGCAGCCTGAAGACATACAAAGATATGGAGTTCCCAGTAAAGGCCTTGCAGATTGCAGATATAGAAAGAAAGCTGGACAGACTGAAAGACATGCATCAGGTAAAATATGAGCAGGACTCACTGCAGGATGACCAAAAGCTGACATTTTGGCCAACTGAAAAAAAGTAATCAAAATTATATTCAGGAAAATCCTTTATTTATTTATTAAAAAACGCATGTGGTTCTAGCTCCCATAAGAACTCTTCAGTGTTTTATTAAGTTGTAACACATTTCCTCTTTTATAATTGTCAGAAAGAGAGAGAAGATTTGAACCTGTTGTTTAAGAAAGAAATGGTCAGTTTGGAGAGACGCCAACACCAAAGAGAACAGGAAGTGCTGTCTGCTGTAGTTGAGGTAAAGAAGCTCTTCTGTGTCAATTTTTAGATATATTTATGGAGGTAAAGGGAGGTAATTTGTGACTTTAGGAGCTTTATAAAAAAATATGCATGTGGTTTGGTTTTCAGAAACATGCTTCCCACATCCCTCCCATTGTCAAACTGACGGCCTCACAGAATGACACAATAAGAGAAGAGATTCATCAGCGGAGAAAGGTAATTAAAGTATGTTCATATAGAAATGTATTTACATTGTAAATTTACCATATTTTTTTAAGGTGGTAATGGAGATGGAGAGGAAGAATGAAGAGCTAAGGAAGAGTATTCAGGAACTGCAACTGTCAAGACCAAAAAACATCAGGAGAGAGATCTTTCCAGATGTTTTCATGAAATCAGACAAGTAAGTGGATGAGGACATTGAGTTATTGAGGCAAACATCTTCTTTATCACAAACAGCTCTTATGTCCTCAATAGCTCTTCAGCTGAAGCATTCCCAAGTTATACAATAATTGCAGTTGCAGAGAAACATTCTCACAAAATTGGCCACTTGAAAGGAAGTTCAACAAACCCCTCGAAATGTCTAACAGTGTTAGTATGACCCGACCCCTCCCATAAACAGATATAGAACAGCAACACTTAGAGAACTTCACTTTCAAGAACCTTCTCAAGCATACTGACAGCACACAGCCCGTGATAGTTTAACATCCACTATGGGTAAGAAGCTCATATCATGCATTGAGAAACAATTTAAAAATTCTGGCAGCATTTAGTCATCATCATGTTGTTCCAAAAGACTTTTTTTTCTATGTAGAATGCAAAAGAATAAATTCTAAAGGATGTTGCAACTGTTTTTGTCTATATAATGAAAGACAATGGGGTCCAAAACCCAATTTGAAGAAATTTGAAGAAAATCATGGTGTGTTTCCTAAAAGCATCATTAGCCAACTATGCTTGCAAGTTACGTCAATTTAGTGTTTCCCGAAACCATAGTTCAAACTGACATTTATGAACAACACCCAAAACTTGTGTAGTTGGAAATACAGCTTTTGACCTGTGGTTAGAAGCATTGTTTCTTCTTAGTATGACATGTGGACGTATACATGCACAAGAGCAAAATAAGCATTCTAACGTGCAGTGCATTTTATATCATTAATGCCATTTGAATATATAAGTTTCAATCTATATATTTTAGCATGTCAACAATCAATGGCATTTTTTAAGAATGCGCATGAATGGGAACCGCATGGGAAAGAGTATGATGCAAGAGGGAACCCATAATGAAGCAAACATCAAATAAAGCAAGATGACATGGTACAAAAAATAGTAGTCATCAGGTGCCTTGTTCGTTAGCATCTCGTAGATCTTGAATTGATGAATTAGCAGAAGTTATTACTCCACCAGCTGCGTGTGACGTCATTAATGACAGTCCTACGTTGTTGAACCAACATGGTTCAAACAGTGGATGTGCGACCGTGTTACCGTGATGTTTTTTTTTTCTCCAACGATGCACATTACTATGCTAGTTAATCAGCAAGTTACATCACTGTACAGGAAACACACCCCAGGTTTGGAATGACATGAGGGTGAGTAAAAGATGACTGAATTTTCATTTTTGGGTGAAAGATAATGCAGACTTGTATGATGAGTAACACGTTCACACAATGAGCTTTTTTGGGGATTGGAGTGGAGCACTGCAAATCAGATAAACTAGAGGAAAAAGTACCCTATTGACTTTCAAACAAAAGCTGGGTTTGGAAAAAGTATTGGGCTGTTGGAGATGGTGTTAGATTACACAGTTTTGGAAAAGACTCCAAAGGCCATCTTAAAGATAAATGAAGAACAAGAGAATGCTGTGCATTCATGGAATCCCTGGCGCCCATTAAAGGTTAATGAAGGTTTCACATTTCCCAACAGTCTGTTCCAAAACAGCATGTCATTTTCCTCTCCATGACAATCGGTCATATCTCCAGAACAATCTGACACTTTATTTCAAGGTCCTGCGAGTGCAAGCACAACCTCTTGCCACCCATGGGAGCTGTTATATCACAGATAAGATTTATTCATATGAACTTTCATTCCTTGAGTGTTTTGGCCTAGGGGACAAAGGACGTGGAAAACAAGCAAAAACATTCACTGTGTTCACATACTGTATCATGTCACACTGAGCACCAAATTATAAAGGTTTTCATTAAATGGAGATAACGATAAACAGATCTGGGATTTCCTGCTCCACTCGTGACAGAGACATGGCTTTAGTATCCGCAGATGTATTGAGCCCCAGCAAAGAAACTTCTCATGTTTCCTGTCTTAAACAAACTGTCTCAGGCTGTGGTGACCATGCTTAAAGGCAAATGTCCCATAAGCAGTCCTCCTGATTTACATGATCTTTGCACCCAAAAATTAAGATTCTGTCATCATTTGTCATTACAGACTTGTATGAATTTCTTCTGTGGAACACTAAAGAAGTTTTTTTTTTTTTTTTTGTCCATACAATGAAAGTAACTGTGATGTAATGTAGTTTTGGACCCAACTGACTTTCATTGTATGGGCAAAAACAGTTTAAACATTTGATTTTTCTGAATATCATCTTTTGGTTTGCAGCAACATGAGGGTGAGTATATGATTACTGTCTGATTACTCTGTTACTGTTTGTCTGTATTTTAGGTGTACTCCAGATATGGATGTCCATCTCAATATACCCCAAGTGGATTTACTTCCCGTGTAGCCTTGTCCTGAAGGCATTACCTTTTTGAGTCTTCCCTTGAGCTGCTATATATTACAGATGAAAATCAATGAAGCCACTTCATTCAATCATCTTACTCAGTCAAACAGTAGTACAGATCATTTTTATTTATTTGTCTTTGCATTCAGTTTGTTTTATGGGCTTTATCCTCTTTATTTCTTTTTCTAAAACCACAATATATTGCACTCTAGTGCAAGTACCATAATTTACTGATGTGGCTTTAGACATGCAACTGCATACTGCTTGTATTTTAGTGTTGCATAAACTATGTTAAATGGCCATTTTTATTTACAGAATACCTCTATAAGTCAGACTTTTTAAATACCTATAATAGTCTAATTTTAGGTATACTAACATTCAGAATCCTTGCTATATATATATATATATATATATAGTGCTGAAATGTCACCTTATAGAATGGCTCATAATTGTAGTACACGCTCGTTTATTGAAATGTTAACCTAATGCTGCGTTCCAGACAACTCGGATGTAATAACTATAATACAATATTATATATTATATTATATTATATTATATTATAGTATATCATATCTATACAGAGACGTTATTTCCATACATTGCTCATTGCTGGTTTTCGTGCAAGTCAGCAAGTCATTGACAGATTTTTTTCCCCCAGTCTTTGAAGCATATTTCCTACATTATTTCTTTAATCTTTTTTTTTTTTCACATTGCACTTGAATAAAGTTAAAGGTGCAATCTGCCGATTGTCCTGCAGGTGACCGCATAACTCTGTCTTCTTACGATGGACTTAGGGCTTTACGATTACTCCAGAGCACTCATAGATCTATGATGATTTTCAAGTGCTACTTAAGTTACGATGCTTTTGGGAAACAGACCGTAATATTAAGATCAGTCGTACAATCATTTTTACGAACTTCTTAGGCTTACGAAGCTTTTGGGAAACGCAGCCCTGGATGGCCCGAGGGTTAGTAAAGTTTCAGCACATTTTCATTTTTGGGTCAAATATTCTTTGAATTGCATAGTCATTTGTTTATATATGTGTATTTCTATTTTTTCTGCCCTTTTTAATTATTTCATTTATAAATTCATTTAAAAAAACAACAACAACAAAAACGAGTAATAAAGTGTACAATAAAGTACAATCATATCCTTATATTATAATCACATTGCACTTTAATAAAGTTATAGGTGTAATCTGCCGATTGTCCTGCAGGTGACTGCATAAATATGTCTTCTTACGATGCACTTAGGGCTTTACGATTACTCCAGAGCACTCATAGATCTACGATGATTTTCAAGTGCTACTTAAGTTACGATGCTTTTGGGAAACAGACCGTAATATTAAGATCAGTCGTACGATCGTTTTTACGAACTTCTTAGGCTTACAAAGCTTTTGACAAACTCAGCCCTGGGGCGTAGGTATAGGCTTAGATCTCTGCCACAGTTCTGCGCGCGAAAGATCATATTTTGAGCGCACAACAGTGCATTTTGCACGTGCGCGATCTGAGTTTTGTGGAGAAAATTTTCGTTTCGCAAAGAAAAAAGTATTTAGCGCGCACGAAAATCAATTTTGCATTTAAAATAATTTTTTGGATGTGTGCAGACATTCTCTTTTGCGCGTGCAACGTTTCACTAGCTTGCTCCCTTGATGCCCCCCCTCAGTGCTCTCTAAATGCCAACAGCTCACTTGCTCAACACAACCCAGCATTACAATATGCCATAATTCCAGCCAATCAGAGACCAGGCTGCTAAATTCTGATTGGCTGCCTTGACAACCATTCACAACATTTCTTGCATTACCACGACAGCAGAAGAGGAAAAATACAGTGTATGCATAATTATTATGCAAGTTGATATTCTGATTATATTTTTTTTCCAAGCACATTTACCAATTCCAAACCAGAGACTAGGCTGCTAAATTCTGATTGGCTGCCTTGACAACCAATCACAACATTCCTTGCATTACCACGACAGCAGAAGAGGAAAAATACAGTGTATGCATAATTATTATGCAAGTTGATATTCTGATTATATTTTTTTTCCAAGCACATTTACCAATTCCTAACAACATCAATATGTATCTTTGTGTATGTATATATATATTATGTCGCTCTGTCGCTGTTTGTCGCTGGCGGTGTGAACGGGGCAAGCTCTTGCGCAAAGTTTGCACGTTGCTTGTGTGATATCCATTGGCTCGCCTTCTTGGTTTAAAACAAATATTTACAAAGTGCTTCATTTTATGACTATGACTCCATTTATCTTGCAAATGGAGCATTTCTAAGCCAGCTACTGTTTTAAACCTTGACACGGTAGTTTTGTGACATTGATGTAATTGTCCAAAGTGTGGGAACAAGGCTTGCTCTGTAAACATTTATGGATTTCAGCACCCCAGTGTACGGGCGACTGGTTTGATTACTTTTGTTGTTTCAGTTGGAAAAGATTCAGTTGAGCCTCAGAGAATTAAAAATTCCTGGTAAAAACAACAACAACTGCGATATCTAAGCAGAGGATAAACCTTTTTTCCTCTATTTCACAGGATTCAGAGTTCTTTTTTTCCATGTGTATCCAGTGCTGGAATGCTTTCCAATAAATAACACTTATTTTAGAAACAAAATTCTAAATAGATGCTATAAAAGTGCAACATTCATTATCCGATTGCATAAGCATCAAGAAAAGAAACAGCTGTGGATGTTTGTCTCTAAAGAAAAATAAATGCAATGTGTGTGGTTTCACTTTGCATGACTTCACAGAGGTGACGTCATTAAATCAAGATGCGTTTTACATCAAAGCAATAGGACTAATGAGAACCTTCTGATAACATATGATATCTCAGCGCAGCTTTAAGCAGGAAATTACAGAACATCGACGTCATGGAGATGGAGTAGGACGGTGCTAAAAAGACTTCATAACATTTCGTGGCCCTGGATGATGTTGAAAGACGCTCAGCGAGGACCCACGAGACTTACAGTCGAGGGCCCGTTTGTTGAGCTGTGTTTATGGATCATGTGAGTAATATAAACAGAAGGCACGTTTCTCCGCGCGCTCTGAGCTCGAGCTGAGTTGGCAACAGGACCCCACCTGTGTTTAATCACAAAGACACGATACTGTACATGCAACTTCACACCGATCCAGCTCTGAGGGCTGACGCTCAAAGTCTACAAGTGGAAGCATGAACTGAGAAGTCGCGCTTTGGACTCCTAAAACTTGCTTGCCATGAGATAAAGGTGAGTGAAAGGTCATAGATGTGAACTCGCCGATGTTTTTCCGAGCGCGCGGTGCGGGTGAGATGAGACTGTGACAGACAGCGCGAGAGATTGAGAGAAATGCTTCATTACGCTCTTGAATTTTTAAAAGCGTTGTGGAACTCGCGGGGCTGTTACCATGACTGCAGCGGTGTAGCGTTTCCCTGCAGCCGGTGCATCCAACTCCACTGCGCGCAAACTGATTGATCCGCTACCAGTAGCTTTAAACTGCATTCTGCCTCTCAGTGCACCTGTATGCGTTTAAACATTAATTTACGGACATGATTGTGAGTACGCTTCACTTTCTAAATATGTTTTTGCTGGAATATGTCTGATTTGTTAAGCTGTTGTGTTTATTAATGCATGAAATAGCCTATGCTAAAATGCATAAATATGCAGAGGACTCCGGGGCTAGTTGTCACAAGGATCTTGGCAACTATAATGTTTAGAGTAAGAAGTCCAAACAGACAAATGCTTGTTTTTAGCTTTGTTCACCTAATTAGAATACGTAAACTAAACTTAAAAGCTTAAGTTTTGTTCTTAGAATGGGGCAAGTTGTCACATGTTTTAAATGTCATACATGCATACAGTTGACAACGTTTAGTTTGATATTTTTTTAATTTATTTTACAAATATTTTTTTCAAGAATATATAAAATGTTATAGCTATTATTAAAATGTAATAACTATTTTACCAAGTATTTTAAGTAATATTTAAGTTACATTTTAAGACATGAATATTTAGTGTATTTTTTTAAGTCAGTGTATAGGCATACTAAAGTTGACTTTAAAAAATAAATGAGTTGTTCACTGGAATAAAAAGTGTCACAACTAGCCCCGATCTCTTAAATGCTACCAGTTAAATGTTTGCTCACACTTGATTTTATTTTTCTAATAATTTCAATGTCCAATGCTTACAATTATTGTAGACACATATAAGTTGTGCATAAGTACTTTACAACATTTGTAACGAAATTAACATTTTATTTTATTTATTTATTTATTTTAACTGGATGAGATCAGATAATAAAGGAGAAACAGTCAACAAGTGACTCTTTAAAAAATATATTTTTTTTTGGCATATGATTTATATGCAGTGAATCTGTTTGTTTTCCTATCATAATAAAGTCACTTTTGTTCAGGCATACTTATGTTTATAAGATGACACTCAACACACAGAAAGAGGGAAAGGAACCACTGAGGAGAAGAGCAAGTACTCCCATCCCCTCATCTCGTCAAGTGGGCAAGGGAGAAAGAGGCCCCTTCGCTGACCCGTATCACCCTCCACTCACCCAGTCAGCCTCGTACCACCCTGGAGACAAGAGCATCCACTCACGGGCCAACTGGTCTTCAGACTCCGAGTCGGACAGCTCTGAAGCTGAGTGTCTTTATCACGTGGTTTTGTTGGGGGATCACGGCGTGGGGAAGTCAAGCCTTGCCAACATTTTTGCTGGAATACAAGAGAAGGATGCCCACAAACACATTGGAGGTATAAAATCCAAAGTATATTATGGCTTTTGTGAATATTTGTTCATGTCTACATATCAGGTCAGTTTAGTTGATTCAGTTGATTCATTCTGTTCGGTTCAATCAGCTCAATGTTATTGTTTAACACTAAATATAGCATTGACACACAACCGTGAAAGCGCACAGCATTGCAAGGCCTAAAATAACCGTGACTAAACTATTAGGTCTGCCTGATTGATTGCACTCTCAAATTGTCACGCGTCAGGTTTGATCCTGAAACATTAATTGTATGGTGATATTGATTAATACATCAGTCAGAGCAAACAGTACATACAGTATATTGATTTGTGTACCAGCTGTTATTTAGAGCATTGTTGGCTGTTTTATTCCTTTAAGCACAAATTTTAAGTGTTCTACGGTGGTTTAAACATTATATTTTTATACCATAAATGTAGAATCATTTCGCTTTATTTTGCTGGAATATGTTCATTACTTATTACCGGACAGCACATGACTGATTTAAAGTCAGCACCGTTGTGTGGTCTGTCCCATTTGTCCAGTCCTGTCCATCTTTTGGTGTCCCAAGGGTGTGAGACAATCCATTTTGACTGACACAAAACCAGTCCATCAAAGACCTACGTATAAACCTAACAGTTTAAATTGGCTTAAATATTCAGCACACAAATGTATGTGTCTCCCTAATGCATTGAACTATGCAAAATGCCTTTATCAAAGCAGTAAATGAGCATCTGTGAGTGGCAATCTGTTCTGTTGACCTACATGTTGTTTTTTTGTCTAACGGCATATGACCTTATGTCTCATAGCTGTGTTGGCTTTGACCTGAGCAGAACATCATCCTGTAAATAATCATGTCATTGACAGGCCGATATGTGTATATTGATTTTTGTATCAGTGGAGACATATTAGTAGGCTACACTTCTGCATTACCCTAAATAAAAGCAGATTTTCAGGATTATTATCAGGATTCGTCTTCTTCTCTGTAGGGCATGTCTGGATTTTATTTTAGATTTGGTCTTAACATTTAGATGTTAGCTGACGTGAAATTTAAGACATTGAAGTTGATTAAGAACACTGTTATTCTTTTATCGTGAATTCACATGTTTCATGGCCAAGTTTGTCCTTAAGTGCTATACATCTTGTAGAGGTCTCGAAAAATGACATTGAATAAATTTAAAGTGGAAAAATGAGACTAGGTCAGTAACAACCTGGAGCAAAGTGTGTTTTATCTTCTTGTCAGACTAGCTGTGCGATCAGTTTATCAGACACGGCTCAGTGATTTTTCCACTATTCCACTTCACATGCATTTTTCATGCTTGTGATTATAACAAAGCACTGTTCAAATGTATCGCAGATTAAAGGCAGCAAAAACCTGTTTTTTGACAGTTGGAACATTTCATGATAAAGCAGGGGAAATACTTTAAAAACCTAGTTACTTACTTTAATAATATAATTTCCTTATACAGTGTGTACACCTTTAATCTATAATTTCCAATAAATATTTTCAAATGTATTTCAAGGTAAAAAAGTATGTTTTTACAAAAATCATGGAATTTTTGAAAATCATGAAAGTTTCTGGGAAGTCACATCAGGGGTACTCTCTATGATATTTGTTTTTTGTTTTGTTTTTTCCTGCATGTTGATTGGATCACGTGTCTTTGATGTGTGGACAAAAGTTTTGAATATATTTATATGCAGTGAAATGCTTTTATAAACTTTTATATAAAAAATACACTTTTAAATAGTAGATTGCGCCAAATTACTTGAGGTTTTCTTTTTAAGAATATTATCCTTATAACAAGTCTATTTCTTTATTATGAAATCAGGACCGCTGCATATTTTTGACTTTATGTTCACCAAAAAATAAATAAAATTAAAGACATGCTCATCATAGAAGAGATTAAACTGAATTAATGTAATTTTGAGTTTGATGTTTTTTTTGTTTGTGTTTTATTTTTAATTAATAGATAGGACAACAAATGAATTCAGTGTGATTGACCTAATTGTTTGTAGTGTATCTTCAGTTGGCAATTCTGTATTGGGTGTCAGATTGATGTCACTGATGTTTTGGAAGTTACTTTATGTGCCAATTCAACTGAAAATACTGTGCATGTTTTTATAGAGGATACATATGAGGGAACCCTTATGGTTGATGGGGAGGAGACGACCCTAGTTGTGATGGACACGTGGGAAACAGAAAAACAGGTATGCAAACATCATACATCAATATGTCTCAGCATATTGGCGTCAGTAACCTACGAATTACCGAATGTAATTTGCATGTGTCTGCCAGCCGTGAGTCTGTGGTTTGCAGACACAAGTCTCACCTACAGGGCCACAATGCCCTTTGTGCATTGCTGTGGAAAAAACGTGGCCACTTGCTGCCAGTCTCTAAACTCCATTGAGTGATGCCCTGCAGTGAGCAAGCAACATACAGCTGGCCCCTGCTGCTGACCACACAGCCAAGTACACTGATAGCTCTGGGGCCTAATTACGCCGCTATCGATGACTCTCCTCTGTGAGGTCTGTCTGGCAGCTAGGCTTTTCTGGTCATAAGAATTGTTTACAGAGATAAATAATTCTGTACTTCCAGATTACAGGAAAACATGTTACAATACACAGCATTTTCTTGACACACAGCATTCAGTTGTTTGTCGTTCATCTTTCAGTACATGCACAAATGTTTAAAGGGATAGTTTATCCTAAAATGAAAACTCTGTCATTATTTAGTCACCCTCATGTCATTCCAAACCTCTTTGACTGTCTGTCTTCTGTAAAATGTTTGAAGAACATCCTGGCCATTTTTTCCCAATATAATGAATGAGGACTGGGATTGTGAAACTCCAAAATGACAACATAAAGCAACATAAAAGTATAATAAGAGTGCTCTAGTTAAAATTATAAGTCCATAAAATGAGCACTGTTTGAAAGATTTTGTTTTTGAAAGAATCTTCTATGCTCACCAAGGCTGCATTTATTTAATTAAAAATATAGTAAAAACAGTAATATTTTGAAATATTAATACAATTTAAAATAATAGTTTTCTTCAAATAATGTAATATATTTTGAATGAAAAAAGCTGCTTTTTTAGCATCATCATTACGCAGTCTTTAGTGTCACATGATCCTTCAGAAATCATTCTAATATGCTGATTTGGTGCTAAAGAAAGGTATTATTATCATAGGAGGTTCTTATATTATCATAGAAAAAGTTGTGCTGCTTAATTTTTTTATTTTTTTTTTTGGAAACATATCACCTTTTTGTAACATAAATGTCTTTACTATCACTTTTGTTCAATTAAATGCATCCTTACTGAACAAAAGTATTCATTTCTTTCTATAAATAGTACTGACCCCAAACCTTTAAACAGTAGTGTAGCTTCAAAAGACTTAAAATATGGCATATAATTGGTATGGACAATTTTCATTGTTTTTGAAGCTTGAAAGCTTTGTTGTCATTGTTTTCAAAAAAAAAAGAAAGAAAGAAAAAAAGAAATAATTTCATAATATAATAAAAAACATTTAATAATCAATTTGTCACTTATTTGAGTTCCATTAAAGAAAGAAAGTTAAGGTTTTTTTGAACCACATGAGGTTGAGTAAACAATGACAGAACTTGTTGTGAAGTATTCCTTTAAAGTGTTTAACCATTTTTTTGATCCCCTAGGAGGAAGATGAGAAGTGGGTGCAGGATTACTGCATGCAGGTGGGCAATGCTTACATCATTGTTTACTCCATCACCGACCGCAGCAGCTTTGAGAGCGCATCAGAGTTACGAATCCAGTTGCGTCGCATCCGGCAGGCTGAAAACATTCCCATCATCCTTGTGGGCAACAAAAGTGACTTAGTGCGCTCTCGAGAAGTGGCAGTGGAAGGTGAGAAGAGTTTTGATTTGTATCGTTCACACAGACACATAGTGGGATGTTATACACTACCATTAAAAAGTTTGGTTTAGTATAAGGAAGGATATTAATGAAAGAATTTGATAAAAAAAAAAAAAAAGAATACTTTTATATACCAATTAAATAGATCAAAAGTGACAGTAAAGACATTTATAATATTAAAACTTTCTATTCATCAAAGAATCCTGAATAAAAGGTATCACTGTTTCCACAAAAATAGTAAGCAGCACAACGGTTTTCACATTGATAATAATAAGAAAAGTTTCTTGAGCATCAAATCAGCATATTAGAATGATTTCTCATTCACTCTAAAGACTGTTATATGTGGAAAATTCAGCTTTGCCATCACAGGAATGAATTGAGACTTCTTTCAAGAGTATTTCAAAATCTTACCCCAAACTTTTGAATGGTCGGGTATATCACAGTCTAACTCATGAATGCACAATTGTCTGACATGGTGCAGATGCATAAGCCTTCAAAGCCTTGTGATGGGTTTGGTTTTACACAATCCTGGTCTTCTGTGGCAGAGGGTCGGGCTTGTGCGGTGGTATTTGACTGCAAGTTCATAGAAACCTCCGCCTCCCTCCACCACAACGTTCACGAGCTCTTTGAGGGCATTGTGAGGCAGATCCGACTGCGGCGAGACAGTAAAGAGATCAATGAGCGCCGACGCTCCATCTACAAGCGAAAAGAGAGCATCACCAAGAAAGCCAGACGCTTCCTAGATCGACTTGTGGCCAAGAACAACAAGAAGATGGCCCTGAAAGTGCGCTCCAAGTCCTGTCATGACCTCACAGTGCTGTGAACCCACAGATCACTCTCAGTCCTTGAACTCTGGGTTCTCTCCTTTGTTTTCTGTTTGTAAGGCAAAAGAGGATTTGTCTTTCTGATAAGACTTCTTTTAGAAGAAGAATTGAAATTCAATTCACATTTTTTGTTTGTTTGTGTTGTTTATTTATTCATTTACGTCAGAATCTAGCATTAACAACCTTTTTACTGATTCCCCTGACGATCTTGAGGTTTTGTTCATTGTTCTATGTCCTATAGATCAGTTTTTTGATAGTTATTTGAATTAAACCAAAGGTTTATTACTGTATATCACCAATTAAGTGGACTTTGTTTTTTTTAATGAACATTTGATCAATGTTTGCCTTATCAGACTGAATAGACAATAGTTCGAATTAATTAACAAGCAATATTTATTATTCATTGTTGTTTATATGTTTTTCCTTAAATTATAATTTCACCTTGTTGTTTTTTCTAACAAAGGAAGTATTTTGTATACAATGAAAGACATTTTCTGTATGAGAAAAGAACAGCCCATTGGAAAAGTCAAAGGATGAGCTGAGCTGAGACCAATATTATTTTTTTCTTACAAGTTTATTCTGTTAAAGTGAATCAATATTATGTCAGTCATCGTTTAAAAAGGGCATGTGAATATCCTTCATAAGCCTGTTCCAGTTTATTTGAAAGAGATAGTTGGTCAGTAAACATTATAAAGGTGTCAGCTATTTTTGCAGGAATAATAACAAAAAATAATGGTTTATAGGCTATTTCTCTTTATGTGTTTTGTCTACTTTTTTGGCACTGGACATAGAGGAGAAAATGTTTTTGTACAACTTAATGTTGTTGGTTTGTAAATATTTATTTCCAACATTTGTATAATAATAAATGGCTTTGAAATACGTAAATACAATTATGCTAACTTTCCTAACTTTCAGTGTTTTTTTTATTAAATCCTAATCTGTTTTGAATTTCTGCTTTTTTCAATACCACCCAGTCTGTCTTTCAGGAGAACTTGAGAGTTTGCATATTTTGTTGTCACAAGTCTACCATTGATTCTTTTTAAGGATTTAGATTGTTTGCATATTGTTTCATCTGTAAGGTGCACTGCTGTTTATAATGGAAGTAGTTGCTCATGTTCCATTGCCTCACCTTGAACCTGCTACTATTTTTTTGTGAAAGAATTGTTCAGATATCCTGTCCTGAACAACCCCATTGTCTTTGTTCTCAGGTACAGTCGAGTGGCTCTGAGGGCTTTTCTACAACAATATGGAAATAATCAGTGAAATCAAATCACTGAAATTATGCTTAGAAAGCAATACGATAAAATGCCACGGTCAGTTTAGTGCTCCACTCAAAGCTATTAAGCAGATTACTCTCTCAAATGCTTATTTTTAGAGGATGTTCGGTGGATGGATCATACATAAGGTCAAAAATATTCCAAACATAAAGGCAATGCAGCTGAAAACAATTACGCCTAATTCATTGCATGACATTATTTGTAATCTTTACATCTTAAACTGATACAAAAACAGTAGATATAGACAAGTGAATATTTGGAATCTGTGTTCTGCATTCCCCAAGGTCAGACCTCAAAATGACCAAGAATGCCACTGTAAAGACGTAAAGTTTGTGGATAGTGGCTTTCCCAGATGCCGATTAAGCCTCATGGATAAAGTTACACTGTCAGTTGAGGGTCAACCAAAAAAAAAAAACTCTTAGACTACATTTGATTTGTGTCCATCTTCCCAAAGATATTCCTCCAACTGTTGTGCAAAAATTACTCTTGTTTTATATTTTGACATACTTAAGAAGATAGTTCACCAAAAAATTTAAGTTCTGTCATCATTCAATCATTCATTAATGTTGTTTGAAACCTGTATTACATTTTTGCGGAACACAAAGATTTTTTTTTTTATCTGTCTGTTTTTTTTTTATTCTTACAATGAAAGTCAGTTGGGGTCCAGTGTTGGTTTAGACTTTTAGGGGTCCAGTTGTTGTTTTAGGTTTGGAACAACATGAAGAAAATGATGACGGAATTTTCATTTTCATAAAAGGTATTTGCTGAAAATGTACTCAGCCTAAGGCCATCGAAGATGTAGATGAGTTTGATTCTTCATTGAAACAGATTTAGAGAAATGTATGAATATTTGATGCTTTTTTCAGAAATTTGAACTCTCATTCTGACGGCACCCATTCACTGCAGAGGATCCATTGGTGAGCAAATGATGTAATGCTAAAATATGTTCTGATGAAGAAACAAGATTACCTTCATTTTGAATGGCCTCAAGGTGACAATATTTTCAGGAAATTTAAATTTTTGGGTGGTGAACTATTCCTTTAACATTCAATGGATATGTATTGTTGCAACAGCTTCTCCCACGTCCATGTGCTTGAGTATTTATCCGCATAGGGAGGACATGTGTTGGGGCAACCACTGTCCAGCACCAGGATAAGAAGCAGAAGGCCAGAACTGCAATTAGGCCAGCCAGTGTGCTGCGCCTGGGTCAGCTCTTTCCACTGCCCCCCTTGTCACCATTGGAGTGGGGGAGGGGACGTGGCGTACTGGCTGGGAGCTCAGTGCATTGATTTGGTCAGAGTAATGGAAAGAATGCTCCACTCCACACTCAACCTTTCCCCCAGCTAATACAGCCTACACACATGTACATGCAGATCACAAGCAAATAAACATCTTTTCTTGTCTTTCTGTGCATGTAATAGGATTTTTTTGCCCGTGTAGTTATACACATAGTTAACATTCAAACAATGTTAAAACTAACCAACATTTGGTGCCGTCTTCAGTTCAGATGTGCCGTTCTCCAAACTGTTTTGAACTATGATTCATCTCCCAAGCTATTTTACAATGTAACAATTAACTTCTGCACATACCCAGAAGGTTTTTTTTTTTTTTGTGGTTGAAACACATGCAAAGCTGTTTCTTCCTTTCATAACAAGTGGAAGTTTTCTCCAAATAACAAAAATAACTGCATTAAGCATCTGACATGAAATTAAAGTAAGTAAAAAACGAACACAACAGGGAAAGAGAGAGGGAGAGCAGAATGGAAAAAGTGAATAAGGCCGAGGAGGTGGCAGTGCATACAGGAAGACGAATGGTCCTGCACTAGTTGCACTGACTGGTTCTTGTAACGTGTCAAGAATCTGGCGTCCTCCTGATGTGTGTCATGTTCATACTGTGGAAAGCCTCTGGAGAGATTTACATTTGGCTGCACTCATGCCTCACTGTGAGCGCAGGGATAGAGAGAGCTAATTACGGAAAGTTGGCAGCCAGCAGAACATCAAGCAAGCTGTGGTGAGAGTCAGTGGAAAGAATGAGATTAAACCAAGAAAAATGTGGGGTCATATTTTTTCATAATTTTTTTTACTCATCAAAAGATGAGTATTTAATTTGTTAATTTGTATTTTTCATTGTAAGCCTGTTTCTCAAGGTATATTTGTTTACTGTTCTGGTTCACTGTCTGACTAATTATGTGGTCTCAGAGGTATGGTGTAAAACCATATCAGCTGAGTGACACTGACTTCAAGTCCTGATAGAGGAAAAGAGCAGCAGTGTTGTAGATAGATAGATAGATAGATAGATAGATAGATAGATGTCAGCCACAATTCAGAAAAAAGCACACAGCTGTGAAGAGGTGAAACTAAAACATCAAGAGTGTAAAATAGACTCTCTCTCTCTCTCTCTCTCTTTCTCACACACACACACACACACACACACATACCTCTATGAACTGGTGTGACTGTAACACACCCAGAGTTTTGAGAATTTGCTAAATAAATTGAATAATTCAGCCATAGTGCAGAAAAAATGCATCCAGCAGTGAAAATGTGAAACTCTAGTTTAAAACATTAAGAGGACCAGAAGACTCAAGAGGTTTTACGGAACTAAGTTCTGATAAAACATTCCTGTTCATTTTTGTTACATTTTTAATTGAATTTTAATGTTCAAATTAGATTATGGGTAACATTATAGAAATACAATGCATTCATTTGATAAAAATACAAACATTATACGATTATGATCTTCGGTCTGTTTTGACCGCGAACAAAACGTGTAACTCATAAATTAACAATACCAGACGATTAAAACAAAAAAAGAACGTTTTTAGGGTGTTAATTGTTTGTCTTTGCAGTTCGCACTTCCGTTGTCTGTGCGTGTAACACGAGCTCCCTCTAGTGGACAGTCTTGCGCGTCTCCTCTTATGCAACAGAAACGAGTCATGCACGTGCAGTGGCTGTTTGTCGCCAGTCAGCTTGTCGTTTATAACCGCAACACGCGCATTGTGACCAGTATTAGTTTAAACCATCAAGTTCTGGCTTAATACAATTGTGTTTTTTAGGTTTGTGTGGATACGAATTAATCTACTGGGGTTGCAACGGTAGCAGAAGCGAACAGCAGATCCGGGTTTTGCCGCTCGTTTGCGGAGTTGGGATTGTACAGCTTTGTAGGCCGCAGTGTCTGAGGTAAGACGGAAAGGCTAATGGCTAACGTTACTTACTGTTTGGATCTGTTTATAAGAGCAATCTGACCAATATCAGTTTATTATGTGCCATACGTGGATCACATTGATGTTAAATGTTTTTAATTATTGTATTTACGTCATTTAAGGTGGGTTGTTTCAGCTTGTTTGCGAAGAGGAAGCGACTTTAGCCAGTTACGTTAGGTAACGTTAATGCGCTAACAAAGCAAGCTTCAAGATTCTCTGCTGATAATACGAAAGGTGTGGATATGTAACATCCAAGCCTAGATATTATTTCGTTATATGTGCTAACGTTGTGTAAATTTGTCCAAAATGTGATAAGTAACAAGACGTTTCGCGACAGTGGGTGAGAAAAATAACGTTAGTTAGCCAGGAAGCTAACGTGCTTAAAAGTGCGCTTCGTGACCCCGTCCAGTCACGCGTGTCCGAAATCAGAAATATAGAGTCCGAGTTTAAAGTGCTATTTTGTCCAGAGAAATATATGTGTTGTGATTTCAGAATAACATTTCTATGCTTAGGTTTAACATTAAACGCCAATTAATACACTGTTTTCCTCGCCTGCAGATCAACAACAACATGGCCGATGATTTGGACATTGAAGCAATGCTCGAGGCTCCATATAAAAAGGTGGGTGTTTATGCAAGTGAATAAACTCGCTCAGGAATCTGCTTTCATTTGAAACTTCTAACCAGTCGTGTTTTCTCTAAGTCTTTATTGTCAGATCAATAACTTGAATGTTTCTGTCATAGTGGTTTCAATGAATAAATTGCCCATCTATC